CAGAATCCAACCACCAAGTATTTGAAGGAACTTCAGACAAGTTTGATTCGAAACATACAAAGATATTAGAAATACCTTTCTTTTCAAACCAAGACTTGCGTTTCAGGCAATACTTCTGTACGTGACCTTCTTTTCTACAGAAATAACATTTATTTGCCCGATTTTCCTTCTTTTCATCATTAGTGGCCTGTGAAACTTTAGCAGGTCATTTCTTCTTAAACTTGTTGGATTTCGGTTTGAGAACATCATTAGCTCCTCGACCCACAAGGTTGACCGTATGAACTCCTTGTGCCTTAAGCCTCGTCTTCTCCTGAACAAGCTTACTGGCCAATTCATTAACATCCCACTTATCCTTAATAGTGTTATAGTTAATTTGAAAAGGCCCATATTCAGGAGGCAACGAGTTAAGCATAAATTGCACCAGAAATGAGTCATCCACAGTCATACCCAAGGACTTAAGCCTTGTTGCAAGATTAGTCATGTCAAGAACATGTTGCTGCATACTACGCGACCCATCATACTTTTTGGTCGTGAGTTCAGCCATAAGTGTTCCTGCCAATGACTTATCCGCGGAACGAAAACGCTCTTCCACAAGCAAAAGATATGCTTTTGCATCCACATTATCAGGAAGAGTTGACTTAATGTTGTTGGCAATCGTCATTCGCATAAAGCTCAAACATAATCTGTTAGACCTGTCCCAAGCCTTACGGTTTGATTTCTCAGCCTCACTGCTTTGATCATTAATGTCAGCAGGCTTTTCTTCAAGCAGAGCCAAGTTAATATCCAAAACACCTAAATGGAAATTGACTTGCTCACGCCATTCAGAGAAATTCAAACCATTGAAGACAGTAACAGAAGAAGCTTGCGAATGAAGAGAGATAACTGCACAATCATAAACGCTCACTTAATTAATAGATTCAGAAAATACATTCATCACATATATTGCAGGTCTCCTTTGGGTAAACACAACAATATATATCATTATCATAAGTCGAATGTCATTCAGCACTTAATGAGAAATTAAATAAACTTCGTCTAACGTACATAGTATCTTTGGATATCTACATACGCTCGACAAAGAACATTATATTTCTCCTTAATGTTTATTAGTTATAGAACATTGATTCACCTTTGGGTAAATCCATAATTTCTAACAACCAATAAACTCATTATCTTAAATAATGACATTCTCGAGAAACATAAGTTATATGACCAAACATTAGAAAATCAATCCGGCCACTTTGGTGACTAACAAATTGATTTTATCTTAATGTCATATAACAATTAATTGTAACAATAATATTATATGACAGTACATGAAAAATTAATTATGTCACTTTGGTGACTAACAAATTAATTTTATTTTAATGTCATATAATAAATCATCCGTAAACAGATATCACCATTATTCATATATTCACATTCTCAAATATGCTATTATGCATCTCAAACAGTTCAATGCACAACCATTACAGCATATAAAATGAATTTGCAACTGATACGGCTTACATCAAATGTCTGTAAACATTCGCAATCATGATGTACAGTTGGCCATGTTAAAGTGATCATCATAACATCATAAAACAATTAAACAATGCACAACCATCAAAAACATTCGTGGGCCATCTTTGCTACCAAAATTTAACCCAAAACCAATGCTAATAGAATAATGCGAAAATTGGATTATGCA